TTTAGAACTCTTAGCTCAGTGGCTAGAAAACAATAATCAATAAATATTTTTAAAAACTACTATGGCTATTTTTTTTCTCTCTCTGTTAGATTATTTATCTTTTCCCCTTTGTCTTTGAATCTGATCACTCCAATATTTTCCCCAACCAAGTGACTAACTGCCTTTGGAAGTCTACTTTTTTTTCTTAGCAACTACCTTAGTGTGTCCCACCTCAGACTTTGGCATTTCCTCTTAGTTCACCTTAGACACACTCCAGGGAAGCAGCAACACATAATGGAAAAAGGTTTAGATATAGCATTCCAATAGAAATATAACACATGTCACATGTTTAATTCTAAATCTTCTACTAGCTACATTTAAAAAGGAAAAATAATCAGGTGTAATTTTAATAACATATTTATTTTCCTGAAAATATCCAAAATGTTATCATTTTAACAAGTGGCAGTATCTACATTTCAAGTACATAACAACTACATGTGCCCACTATATCAGACAGTACAGGTTTAGAGTCAGATGGACCTAGGTTCAAATTCTGGCTCTACTATTTATTTGCCATTTACTTACTCTGAATCTCAGTTCCATGATGTTAAAAATAACTATCTTCAAACACAAGAACTAAATAAAAATGGCATACCCAAAGTACTTAGCACAATGCCTGTATCCAAGATGCTTATTATATGATAATTCCTTCACCCTGAACCTTCTACTCTGGAACTAAACGCTGATTCAATATAGCGAAATCTGTGATCTAGCCCTTTTTCTTTCCCTTCTATCTTTACTATAAACTGTGGCCCTACCCCTGCCCCCTCCCCCACCTGCACAGCTCTCCTTCATTGCTTCCTAGCAGCTATAAATTTGACTAGGTAGACTTACTTGTAGAAGGCATGGGCCCTTTTAGCCATGGCACAAGTATGTCAAAAAACTCAACAGACCTGTGCCTGAAAGGGAGACCCTATAATCTCCTCCTCCTCTGGCCCTGTCTCATCTACCTCCTCTGCTGGCCCTGCTGCCTACTCAGCAAGAGTTTCTCCCTCATTAAGCTACTACCACTGCTGCAGCCTTCTCGGCAACTGCCATCATCATTGCTTCTCCATTTAAAGAAGAGACTGGCCTCAAACTTTAAAGAGGTTGAGCAGCATTCTGCAAAATAACCAGCCAGTACCCTTCAAAAGTGTCAAGGTCACAAAAGAAAAAGAAAGACTGAGGAACTGTCATAGATTGAAGGAGACTAGAGAGACACGAAAAATAAAAATGAAATATGGGATCTTAGGTGGGATTATGGCCCAAAAAATGACACTTAGTGGGAAAATTTGAGTTAGGTCTAGAGATAAGCTAATGATATTGTATGGATGTCAGTTTCCTGGTTTCAATAACTGAACTATGGTTGTGTATAATGTTAATATTAGAGGGTCTAGGGGAATTCTCTGTACTACTTTTGCAACTTTTCTTTAAAAAAATAAAGTTAAAACACTTTTAAATGTGATTATTTGGAACTTTATTGTGAAAGAACCTCTGTCCCAATGGACTTGTTGAGCAGTACATATTATTGTGAAACAGTTCTACTTGTATATTAAGCCTATTGCAGTAAGACCATCACATAGGTTAATGAAAAGTCAATTCTAAGGTATAGAAAATCCACCTTAATCACCACTATTAGTTTGTAAATCCACTAAGAGAGAATGAGGCCTCAGTAAAGCCTCAGTAAGGGCATACTGAGGACTTCATGACAGCAAATCATGTTTTTTACAACCAGCAATGTTATTTAATAAATATATCTTTCCAATTATCATTACCGAATAACATGCTTAAACAGTAGCCCCACTGTGACCAAGTTTTAACAGAAAAACAGAGACACAATAAGCAAGAGAAGCAAAGAAACATATCCCAATATGCATCTACCTCTCTCTCCTAGACCTCTCATGCTTAAGGAAACAGAATTGGTCAGCAAGCTTTAAACAAAACCCTTTGCAATAGAAGAGAAAGTCTGTTCTGCAATAGCATGTGTTTCTGCAACGTGAATTATCATTAACATAACAAGTTAACATAGACAACTGGTAAATGGAAAAAAGATTTCAATGTAATGCAGAAGTTACATTAGTTCATATGTGATTTTTCCCCCAAATCATTAATGTTTTGCCTCATTAGCAAGAGCAACTGAAGGCCAAGTACACTAATGGCAGCAAGCCAGGAAGGAATCTGTATTATACACTCGACTCTTCTCTTAGAAGTGCTTATTGCAAAGTTAACCCACCCTGATCTTTGTTTAAAACTTTTCTTTATAAATAAGCAAATAAAACATGTAACACAAAACAATGAGCAAAAAATACATCTCTGTTGTCAGCATATTTTGTACAAAGCTTAGAAGCTTTTTCCTACTTGTAACTTCTGATTATAATGTCTCTCTGTCCTTTTATCCATAGTTAGCCTCATCCCTTCCCTACATCATCTACAATCAGGCTACCCTCACCATTTATGTTTTAACCAAAATGTTACTTTTACTGTAGTTTATTTATCAGAAATTTCACGTCTTAAACTGTTAGTTTTTTTATTGGGATTGCTATTGTTTTCATTAATGCTCTGGTTATAAAGTTACATAAGCCCTTCTAATTTAAATATGGATTTGCAAACTGTAAATTTTCCAGAAATGTATACATAATATTATAGTAGAAATGCTATTAATATATTTTCATATATTCTGAATACATCAAACACCATCCCAGGATTTTTTTAACATAAAAAGGTCACACTACTTTGTTTCCAAAGATTACTTATGTATCAATGAAGCATTATTAATGGTAATTTCTAAACAAAATGATAAAGTACATTCTATATTTAACTTTATATTCAACAATCACATATGCATTTCTGCATTAGTCACTTATTTATTTAATATACAGGATGTTCCAATATAGTAATGAAAATTATCATCTATGTTAAAACCAGACATGCATTTTTGTAAGAAAAACAAATCTTCAATGTTGTTTGACATGAATTAAATGTATATTATGAACTTTAATCAAACCAACATCAATCTTTTAAAATAAAACAGTCTATAAATTAAGGATAAGTTAAGGTTAATATAAGGATATGTGTCTAGAAAGCATTTTTGCTCATAAACTAAAGAGATACTTTAAATAGTGGTTTTATAGTATTGCATCATGCTAAAGAAGAATTTAGTATCAGACTTTTTGTTTCTTCCTCAAAGAAAGCACAATATTGTTTCATGATTATTTGTTGTTAAATAATATAATAGCAGTAACTAAGCATTCTTTTATGTAAATGGCTTCTACTAGCAACATGCATTATAAAAGAAAGTTTGTTTTTTATATATAACAACGATATAGCACATAATTGACTCATTAAAAATACAGTTCACCTGGAATAGCTGTAATTTATTATATAAATCCCAATATGAATATAACATTTTTAAATTAGCTATATAATAAATATAAATCACTTTATTATTTACATAAAAGTATAGCATTTCTCTTAAACATAATCCATGATATGGTAGGGTACATTTATGGGCTCATGTAACCTTGAATTTCAAGGAGCTTTTTAAGATTTTTTAATTACCTATTCAACTTTACTTGCTTAGAGATAGTTAGCATGTTTCTCATAAAAAAAAAAAATACCACACTATTGTTTGCATATAGTATGACCTCTTTCACTTGAATAGGTATCCTCTCCATCACCGACTAAGTGAGGATGTAACCTTGTCAAACCAAAGGCAAAAGAATAATGAGCATACGACAGACTAACCCAGCATGGAAAGGTTGTTAAGGAGGTTGCAAAAATAGTACTCTGGATGACAAAATAAAAGTGCACTCCAAAGAGCAGGTTAATATTAAAGAAAGCACTTAAAACCTGAGAAGGATTTAATACCCATTCTCACATGTCTGCCACACAAAATTCCACTTGAATTTGTTTACTTTATTAGCTACTAAGTAGATTTGGTTAATATGTTTTCAAATGAATCCTGATAAAGCAGTCTTCAAAAAGACATATTTATAGAATATCTGTTTCCACAAAGCACTAGCCAAAGGTAAGTATGAACAAGTAAATAATGTTTTGCTTTTACCAAACAATTATAAATTATCATCCAACAAGAAAGAAAAAGCCATTCCAACTCAAGAATCAGAAACATAAATTAGAAAAGTCTACCCAACAGTAGGTTTTTACTAGAAGTAAAACAAATGGCAGTAACACTGCTACATGAGTTGCTACCCCAGTGCACTAACTGGCATAAGAGGGAATCATAGTAAAACATTTTTATAAGTAGCTGAAACCAAAAGAAATTAGGCAAGTTCAGCCGCAGTCTTCCCAGTGTGAATTTACTTTTAAAACAAACAAAAATTTCAAATCTAAACCATTCAAGCATGTATTAGGACTATGCATTATATCATCATGTCAGTTACACACACTTTGACACTCCTTTTCTACATTAAAACTGGAATAAAATTTTTGTTTCTGACCAGTCATAACATTTTAACAGAGAAACAGTGCCACCTTTCGGTCCCAAACAGAAGCCTCCAGTGCTAGTCCCAAACTTCCTTTTTCATTTAAACTTCTGATTTATATATAAATGTCAGGGAATTTCATGTCATAATCATCACCTTCTAGCAATACTTTTGAGCTACACAAACATTGGAGTAACAAAAGTTGCTTATGAAGATGTACTTTCAAAATATTCTAAAGTGAAATGAAATGCATGTATTTGGGATCAGTATAATAATTCTAATGAACATTTCATTGAACACATTAAGCCAAATCCAAAATCCAAATATGTCAATCGACTAATATATTCTACACATAAAAGAAAAAATTCTCTTTTATAGCACTGTTACGTTTCAAAATTGATTTTTAACAAATACATTATATTTAAAATATTTTCATTAATTTAATAATTGGCAATATAATATTAACAATGGATTACCAGTTAAGTCAGCCTAAGTATAAATAATTTTGTATACAAATAGAGTATGTTCTGAATTACTTACACCAATGATACAATGTCACCACGTTGTACTTCAAAATTCCTCACTTTCCAGTGGTTCAGCAGTACCACATCAGATGACTGGCTCCCCCCAGGATTCAAAGAAGGCTAGAAAATAAGGAGAAAGAGACACATCTATCATTTGTATTTTTCAATCTTCATGGTTCCTTGCACTTCATAGCTTGAGTGGAGTGCAATAAAATACTTCTAATATAGTACCTTTCAATAAATTGCTGTTCTAAAGTAACTGCAAATGATGAGTTTTCAAAAAGGCTCCTCAGGATTCTTCACATATGAGCCAGAAAAAAATAAATTACCAATACTTATTTGAAAGGAAAATGTGCTAGATATTTAAATCTTTACTTAATTTCAATAGAGAGGTATGGAAAGCTTTAAGAAGAATTTAAAAGCATGAGGAAGAAGTGAGTCAAAGCTTCCAACACAATATTCAGATAAGATCTAATTCCACAGCAGTACACATCATTTTTCCAACTGAGCAAATGAGGACATAATCTCAAATGAACCAGAAAAACACCCATAGGAAGAACTGAAGGGAGCAAAAACCTCAGGTGGTGGGATAATCATAGAAAATGTAGGGATTTCCCACCTTGACCTCCCTTTTCTCGAGAAAGCATGTACCAAGGATCCTGGTCCCAGTTTGAGCCTAATACATGGCCTTCCTCCTAGGATTCAGACAACTCTAGCTAGCTGTGCCTGAGGATTAATGGAGCAAGAATTGAGAAACATTTAAACACGTAAGAATTTATCTGAAGGCCGGGAATTTTATAGGCACAAAAGTTTGGGAAACCATGAAGCCAACATATCTGTCATTTGGACAGGAGCGTAGACAAAGCCAATGGAAAACAAATCTGACACCCGAGGTGAGAATGGTAAGACAAAATAAATAAATAAATAAGAAAAACTAAGAGACTGTCTTTTGCTCTTTTGGGTAGACACCTAATAGTGCTATTGCTGGATCTAATGGTATTTCTATTTTTAGCTCTTTGAGGCATCTCCAAATTCTTTTCCACAGAGGTTATACTAATCTGCAGTCCCGCCAGCAGTGTAAGAGTGTTCCTGTCTCTCCACATCCTCGCCAGCATTTGTTGTTTTGAGATTTTTTTGATAGAGGCTAATCTCACTGGGGTTAGGTGATATCTCATTGTGGTTTTAATTACCCAAAAGAGCAAAAGACATTCTATAAGAAAGACATCTGCACTCGAATATTTATAGCAGCACAATTCACTATTCCAAGGATGTGGAAACAACCCAAGTGCCTGTCAATTCATGAGTGGATTATTAAAATTTGGTATGTGTATACAATGGACTATCATTCAATTATAAGAAACAACAGTGATCTTGCACTGCTTACATTTGCCTAGATTGAGCTTGAGCCCATTATCCAAAGTGAGGTAAAACAAGATAGGAAGAATAGGCTCCACATGTACTCGCCATCAAATTGGTACTGACTGATTAACACTATGGTGCTCACGTGGTAGTAATATACTCCAGGGATTAGGGGGTTGGGGAGTAGACTCACAACTAAAGGACACAGTGAGCACTGTGTAGGGGAAGGGTATGCCTCCAACCCTTGCCAGGGAGAGGCAAAGATATAAAATGTAATCAAAATGTTTGTACCCTCATAATTCCCAGAAAAAAAAAAACTAAGAGAGTTTTCTCATTATTGACTTTCCAAAGATGCCCACCCCCATGGGAAGCAGTAATTTCTGTGGCGATGGGAAAGGTGCTAAACTGAGGCTTTCTGCCTCCAGTGAGGTGTTGATGCAGCAGCAAGTGGAGACATAACCACAGCAAGCTGGGCAGAAGTGAGGAACACAGTGTATGTCAGGCAACAGCCACTCCCTGGAGCAGTAGTGACATTCCCTTTTGTGAAGATTCTTAGAATTATTTGTAGATTTTCTACAAAGCAAGCATGGGTAAAAATGTCAAAATTCTGTATGGAAGCTAATGATGGCCAAACATATTAAATATATACTTATTTTTGACTCCTCAGATTTTATGGCCAAAAAAAAATACTGATTATTCTTGGACATGTCAAATATTCCCAGAACTTCTACCAACTTCTTTATATGATAATGCCTAAATCTCTTAGTTTTGAATTCCCTGCTAGAGATTTCACATGATTATGGTCACTTGACATAAAATTCAACATGATTACAATGGATGTCATCATGTCCTTCCAAATAAAAAGTTTTCTTCCTCATTTTCTTGTATCCTATTTACCTTTTTCCTAGTCAATCAGCTTAAAATTGTAGTTATCTTTTTATTTCATATCCAACCAGTCATAAGCCAAAGGGTTTTTTTTTTAAATCATCATGTCTTTCATCTACAGCACATCTTCTCTCTCCTCTCTACAGTGGTCATATCTCAAGCACCAATCATCATATAATTCATGATATATCTACAGTAATCAGTCTCTCACCTCCAACTCAGAAAGAAACCATTTCTTCACAGGTATACAATCTTGAGCAAGTTACTTAACTTTATTATGCCTTTTTTTACTAGTAAAATGGTGACAATTAGTAACTATTAGCTAGTAATTAAATATTAATAATAACCAATACCAACTCAGTGCTTACCATGTACATTGTTCTGAAAATAATGTCCAGACGTACTAAGTGCTTATCATGCACAAGACCCTGTTTAAGGGTTTTACAAATACAGTTGACCCTTGAACAACAAAGGTTTGAACCACGCAGGACCACTTATACACAGATTTTTTTCAATAAACATTACACTAATATGCCTGTCTCTCCTACCTCCCCTTCCACCTCCTCCACCTCTTCTGCCTCTGCTACCCCGAGACAGTAAGACCAACCCCTCTTTTTTCTCATCCTCCTCCACTTAATGTGAAGATGATGAGGAGGAAGATGTGACCCTTATGATGATCCATTTCCACTTAATGAATAGTACATATATTTTCTTTTCCTTATGATTTTCTAAATAACATCTTCCCTCTTTTTTTTTAATAAGAGGTGCCACTATATAATAACATTTTCTTTTTTCTAGGTTACTTCATTGTAAGAATACAGTATATAATACATAAAACATATCAAATGTGTGTTAACTATTTATGTTATGAGTAAGGTGGATTTTCAACTGGGGGAAGGGAGTGTCAGTGGCACAACCCTCTCATTGTTCAAGAGTTAACCGTACTCATTTATTTGGTGAGATCATTCATTTGAAGTGCTTATATTAGTTCTTGGTCCATAGTTAACCTCTCAATAACTTCCATTATTGATATTACTACACCACAATTTTATTTATGGGCAATTTTGTATACTTTCCCAGGTTCCTCCTCAGGCTCTATATCTAATGAGGAACAGAGCTGTTACAGGACAGTAAGTCCAGGGGCTTTACTGGGTACTAGGCAATGGAGCTCTTGTCACCACAATAGTAGGGTTAGACTAAAAGTTGAGCTTCCACAAGGGTTTATTCTCTCTCATTCACATTTGTCATTTATATTCTCTATCTCCCTCTTCTTCTGGATCTCTGAGTTCAGTATCTGCAGGTACTCTTCCTTATGTCTTTGTATTCTTCCTCCTGCGTTATTGATGCAGTAAAGGTGGCCTAAGGGGAGACCATCAGGGTCCTAAACTATAAAGAGAAAAATCTCCTTCCCATTGCACTTGCACTGTGATCATTGTTTTCTTTGCCATCAGAAGAGTGAGGAACAAAGGTGATTTAATTATTCCTGACTGAGCCGGGGTGCCTTGGCTCATGCCTGTAATTCTAGCACTCCGGGAGGCCAAAGCAGCAAGATTAATTGAGCTCAGGGGTTCAAGACCAGCCTGAGGAAGAGTGAGACCCCATCTCTACTAAAAATAGAAAAAAGAACAACAAACAAACAAACAAACAAATTAGGTGGGCGTGGTAGTATGCACCTGTAGTCCCAGCTACTCGGGAGGCTGAGGCAGGAGGATTGCTGGAGCCCAAGAGATTGAGATTGCAGTGAGCTAGGCTGATGTACCCTAGCTCAGGCAACAGAGCAAGACTCTGTCTCAAAAAAAAAAAAAAAAAAAATTATTCCTGACTGCTCTTCCTTGGCATATATTATTGGTGTTTTCCAGAAGTTTGTGACTACAACCCGTAATAAGAAATGCATTTTACACTGTACCTGGTACACATATGCACAAAAAAATGAATAAAATTTCACAATAATTAGCTTTAAAACATATTTTCTGATACTTTCTATTCACTCTTAATCTGTGTTTTTAAAATTCTGCCTATAACCAACCATATTGATTGCACATCCTCTATATTGATTTTGCAACCTACTAATGGGTTGCAATCACAGTGTTAGAATCATGGCTTTAAGATGATTTTTCTTCTATGCAAGTTGCTTTTCCCCAGAATTCTACTTGCAGTTCTTTCATCTGTCTTTAAATTCTCTCTCTAGAAAATTTTGTGGATAGTCTCAGTTTCGAATGCCATCCATATACCCATGACTCCTACATACACAGTCCCAAATCATTTCCTCTTCCTCTATATGCAATTCATAGCACTGCACACAACACTTAACATACTGTAATGTGATTTTTGTTTACCTGTCTATATTCGCGACTAAGTAGGAAGGACTTTTTATCCATTATTGTTAACACCCTAGTTAAATTTATACTCCAAAACCAAGTGCTTTTGTGATCTTCAAGCACATATATCCAATTGGTTACTGAGCACCACATCTGATCAAGTCATTCCCCTGTTTAAAATCCTTATTAGCTTCCTACTACCTTTACTCTAAAGACTGTTTTTAAGGTAAAAATAAAAACACACATTATCTTCAGGAACCTCTCAATACCCACTTAAATAGTTCTGCTAGTTAAATGCAACAAGTACTGCCCTTTACTCAGGTTATTTTCTCACACCTCCAAGGTGTCATATAAACATATTTCTGCCTGAAGTGTTTCCCTCTCTCTCCACCTTCCTGTCACCTGGTTAACTGATACTTCCAAAGAAAACCTGAATCACAGGAGGCAAACTCATAGGAATTCTGTCCTAACACTCCTCATCTTCCCATTCCATCCTCAGTCTCAATTAGGTGATTAAAAAACCCAAGTCCCCATCATACCCTGTGATTATTTCTATCA